CACCAGTACGAACCGCTCGGGCAATAAGCTACCCCAGACATAATCAAAATTCTCATATGATGCCACAATGTGCCAATAAGCTACCAATTCGAACAAGATACAATGAAAACGAACTCTGAAAAGGAAATCCAATTACCCCGCTCGTGAATCATACATGCGACGCGGGGAACATTCTAAGCAGACACCCCGCTCGCGAATCATACATGCGACGCGGGCTCACAGCTAATACGAGCTTTCCTCAGAAAAAAATAGGAAACGAAACATTTAAAAATAGATATAGGGAACTGTGCTCATCATCACACTGTTGCGGTGTGCAACCCGAATCCACACATAGAACTCACATAAGGAGATATACATCGAGCTAAATTGCTCATTACAGGAAGATACCGGCCATCGGTCACAAGCACACTAGGTGCATAATACCATCCCTGGGGAGACTTATAGTGCCACAAGCTACAACTCAAGCACAACTAAGGTGCGATATACAATCTGAATCTCAAGAGCCATTTTTCTCGTATAACACCATTTCTACGCGGATACTCAACACATAAGCAATTTCTCAAGCCGTCTCACAACTCAATCGGCGCAACGTATCACTACACGAAATATCTGACAGCGAAATAACACCCTGACTACTCCTCCATAAGGAGCACATTACTGAAATGAACACGTTTGGCCTGATATAGAGCCCATATTCACATTTAAATCAATCCACTAATCTCAAGCCGATTTCTAATTGCACCAACTAGGATAATAATCTTTCAAAGGTCCATAATAACTCCCCTTTTCTCATAACGCATAAGAACAACCCTCATAGCCGAAGCGAACCCCCACCGTCCATAACCCAATAAACAGCGTGCCCTCCAGGCATAAATTCTCAAATCAACGATATCATCACAACCTTCATACTTGGTTTAAGTCTTTAATCAATCCAGTGACTACCCTCCAGACTTATACAATCTTCCTGTGGGACACACTCCCACAACCCACCATAACAATAACTGGGTCGTACCTCCAAACCACCGGCCGCGCCAATGCTGAAAAGCGATCAAGAATAATTAACCAGGATGCAAAGCCCTTTTTACAAAACACCGATCTCAGGTGACGTTGATGACAAAACTAACTTAGATTAAACATCGAAACTCCTTTCCTGCTCATCCGAGCTTGTGACATCCTTGTCCACACCGAGCTGTTACCTTGATCTTTACTTCAAATTCCATACCACTCACTGCACCTATCATGCCAACATACGATAGAACACACCTTTCCTCATAGCTTTGGAGCCACTATTAGATTAACACTTCATCATATAAAACTTTACACTTAACTCACTTCAGGAGATCCATAATGTCACACAGGTGAATTCTCATAACCGTAGAATATGCAAATCTCTAAGTAGTGGTCTAAGCCACCATAGCCCTTCCGGAATCTGCTTCCGCATAACAAGCCATAACAGTAGAATGCTTCTGAATAACATCAATTACGGCGGCTGACAAGCCTGATACGTACCGTCACAACTCACTTGCATAACTCGATCACGCTGAGGAAACTAATCACTAACACCAATATGCCAAATTCAATTATGGCCAATCAATCTACCTTCTTCCAATTTATCCTTGATTGCTTTAGAGATAATACTAACTCCATCGACACATAACATACTCCATCTGCACTCATCTCGAGTGACCTTGAATCACGAAACTATGCTGTCTCAAATCCCCTGAACCATTTCATACCTTCCTTGTGCGCACATTCGCATCCCCAACTGATATGCCCATTCTGCTAATCCTTCTACGAATCCGAAGTCCTTTCTCATCTTTCTCTCAAGAGCTACACTGCAAGTCAAAACATCATAGAACATTCTGGGCCTCCACTCGTAAGCTGCTGCAAAAGCTTGATTCTTAACTGTACTTATAGGCTCGAAATCATTAGGCACCATACTTTACCTCTTTTTGAATCTATTAGGACCGTTACTGAGAGCCACCCGTTCTGACTTGATCCCGAATATAATCAACTTCATAAATCTTATAACGCATGAATACCCTCTCGACGAGGCACCCGGCAGAATCACTTCCTTTGAAACCTGCATTTATACAAGGCATAAATCCTGAGTCCTTCCCCAAGTCTGAACATGGGCCAATAAGGCAAACGATAGCCCACCTTTAATAATTCCTTTACTCAAATTACCACTTATGGCCTTTCCTGTAGCTGAAACAGCTCATCAATACGCTAATAACCAGAAACCTCGCAAGTAGTTAACTATGCAACCCCATCATAGGTGGTGGGACTCACCCACTTAGCTCGAAACCACTATTACACAACTCTAGAATTTACCAGGATCCTTAATCTTCTGTTGACATAACCTTGCGTAATCAACCGCCAGAATTCTCGATATCTTACTATAGAAATCATTAACAACATTCGCACGACCAATTCCTTCGCCGTATAACCAATAGAATTCTTCGCAGATGCTTCGCCAACCACGCGACCGCTAACCTGCGCACAGGGAATAACCCACTTGTGGAACTCGCTCCCCGATATCTTCCAAATGCTGCTGCACGGGGTACCATCACTACGACATCAATAACCCATCCTGAGTTCGAGCTCACTCTCTAGTTACACAAGTCCCTTTATCTTTCGTGGACATCGCTTAAGTGTGCAGCAACACCCTTCCAATTCGATGTTATGTTGTATCCTTCTTCATTCAAGCAGCTCCTTCCCGTTATACCAAATCTCCTGCCGCACAATATAAATAGTCCATGCTTAAAATTAAATATGTAGACCTCAATCACCAAGTCACTAAAATTCTCAAGTCATCCCAGACTCTCCTTAATGCGCATAGCCAACCTTCCCAAAAGTCCATAAACAACCCCGCCACTCTCCCACTTTGGCGGAACTTATCCCTTTAATCGACTACTCGACCCTTGGCCTCTTATACTCGGCCCTCTAGAAATTTTAGCCACAGCCTGGCACCTCTCACATGTCTTTGCTTATCCTTTGCTGCTCCTCTTCCGCTTCTGCAACCTGCCTTCCGTAGATGCGGTCCCGCTTCTACGGAACCTTGACCGCATCTGCGGTCCTCAAGCCTTTGACCAAAATCCGCACCTGCGCCTTCCTACCTGCTTTTACGGCTCCGCACCTGCGGCCCCTTTTCCGCAGGTGCGGTTATGACAGCAACCAGCAGTTCAGCCCTCTTCCAAACTCCAAATTCGATCCGTTAACTACCCGAAATCCACCCGAGGCCCCCGGGACCCCAACAAATCCTACCAACCAGTCCCAAAACACATTACGGACTTGCTCGAGGCCTCAAATCACATCAAAGAACGCTAAAATCATGAATCAACCCCCAAAACTTTAGAACTTCCAACTTCTACTTTCGATGCTTAAACCTATCAAATCACGTCCGATTGACCTCAAATTTTGCGCACAAGTCATGATTGACATTACGGACCTACTCCAACTTTCGGAATCGAATTCCGACCCTGATATCAAAAAGTCTACTTCCGGTAAAACTTCTCGAAAACCTTCAAATTTCTATCTTTAGCCAAATGACTCCAAAATGACCTACGGACCTCCGAATTCACTTCCGATCAAGCTCCCAACTTCAGAATCACCATACGGTGCTATTCACAGACTTGGAATCCCAAACCTAACACTGAAATGCACTTCAAGCCAAACTTATAAAATTTCTTCAAAAATGCTAACTTCCACAATTAGCGCCAAAACGCTCCCGGGTTATCCAAAACCCGATCCGGGCATACGCCCAAGTCCGAAATTATCATACGAACCTGCTGGAACCTTCAGATCCCGATTCCGAGGTCGTTTACTCAAAATTCCAATCCTAGTTCATTCTTTCAACTTTAAGCTTCTGAAATGAGAATTCTCTTTCCAAATCAACTCTGGACTTCCCGAAATTCAATCCCGACCACGCGCACAAGTCATAATACCTGAAATGAAGCTGCTCACGGTCTCAGGCTGCTGAATGGAGCGCTAGATGTCAAAATGACCGATCGGGTCATTACAGTTTGATGTAGGATGTTGGTACTAGAACTGATGTAAGAATACAATTTAAGAAACCAAGGATGGTTGGGATGGGAGTTTTACACACTCAAAGTGGCTTCAAGATTCAAAGTGTAAGTCTAACACAAACTCTCATTTATAGGTGATTTCATTTGTCTGATTTTCTGTTGGGTTTTGGCAGCCTGGAATGTCATCTACAAACTTTAAGAATGTGAGGTCCTCGGCAGAAGTAACTGGAGATCTAGGCCATCAACCAACACGAGGTGTTAAATGGAAAGGTAAAGAAGCTATGACATCAAGGCAGCTTCAACAATTGAGAGGCAAGAAGCTTATTCAAACAAGGTCTACGGCTGCTAAGTTGACCCAGGAAAGCACCACTGCAAATCAACCCATCTGATGAAGCTTTGCTTTTGTTTGATGACTGTATTGCAATAGACTGAACTAGACTGCAATTTGAAGTAGCTATAGACTGCAATTCTGTATTTTGATAAGGATTTGTTGGTAGCTATAGACTACTATTTTGTTACATTTGGTGTCTGTTTTGCTGCTGCTACAATGACAACAAACAGCTGTTTTGTTAACTCATTTTGTGGCTTTTATGCAAGAAATGCATATATGATGTTTTAGTGATCTATTAGTTGTACAGGTTGATAGTATGTGTGTTTGCCATGAAATGTGTTCCTTCAGTTGTGGAAACAAAAAGTTCTTCCTTCACAAGTTTTCATACATCTCTATTCTAAACCTTCGATAAGTACAGACTTTGGAGTCGTTTGGTAAGGTGTATTGAAACAACAATTGATACGCAAGAACTATAATTACATATTGAGATAAGAATACTACAAAATATTGAGATGACAAAACAACAAAAGGCTTACATAAGTTCCATTGTAAACATACAAAATAAATCCTACAACCAACAACTACATTCTTATTGAGATGACAAAACTAGATTCACAATGACAACCTCATTGCATCTTCTTTCAATGAGATTCTGGGATACCCACAAGCAACAAGAATAATACACATCCCTTCTTTTCCTTCTCTTCCATCTTCTCCATATCATCTTGCAATTTCACCAATTGAGCCTCGATCTTCTTCATCTTGTCCTCTTTTATGGTGTTTTCAACCTTTAAAGTTGTCCTTGGCTTGGCAAGATTTTCAAAGCCTTCTAATGCATTCTCAAGTTCACCCATTTTGTCAAGCAATTTTGGAATAACAAATTTGGACCTAGGATCAATTTCGGAATCCTTCCAAACCCAAAAATTACAAGATCGTGGACCCTAAGATGAATAACAAAAGAAAATTAATGAATGATAATTTTTCACAACTCAATTAGTGAAAGAATTTTTACTATCATTTACCCCATAGTATGGACAAACCCAATATCTTCTTCCTGGGTTCCGAGGGGTCCAAGCTGTTAACAAAGGCAACACATAGCCATGGTTGCATCGAATTTCTCCACTTGACTCATTTTCTTCCTCTTCCGTGCAAAGCTTTGTCAAATTCAATCCTTTTGAAGGCATTGCAACAACTACAACACAACAACACAATTTTTGATAGTCAGATAATTTGCATTTGCTTTCATAAAATCGGATAATTGGAATTTAGGACAAAGGCATAACAATACTAAAAGAAAGAAATTAGGGTTCTTAAGAAGGAGAAAGGTTAACCTTTGCCTTCAAAGATTAAAACTTCAAAAGGGCAATTTGAGGGATTCTCGGCAGAAATTAGAAGAAGAAGAAATTAGGGTTCTTCAATTGAGTTTGGTAAAATATTGGGGAAGAGAGGATTTTACCGTTGGTTGGGGTTATATTAACGTTAAAGATTTATTTATTTCTTTTTATTTTTGGGTGTTTTCAACGATTAAAAGAGTTAGGACGCGCTCAATTCAGTTGTCACACACGCGTGGCTGGCCAGGCATAAGGAGGGAGTAAATAAATACAGTTCTTTAAAAAATAGTGGGGTGTTAGGACGCCCGTAAAGTTTAGGTGTGTAAATGACTTTCCAAGACAAGTTGAATGGGGTATTTATGCATTTTCTGTATTTATAACAGTAAAAAATGCAGCACTTTTCTTGTCTCTTAAGATTCTATTATGTAAGTTTCCGGGATATCCTCGCACCTAATTTCTCGATGTAAATTATCAGTCGTATAGTGCTTTGATACTTATGTTATTCCTTTGAACTCTGTCATACTTCATTATAAACGAAGAAAGAGCGACAAATATACAATACAAGTTAAAGAAATTTACTCAAGTTATACAGAGTACAATTGACGTGATAATTATGTTTTGCATGGAATTTACCCTTTCATTTCCACTGCCATCATATTTACGTCAGAATGCTTACCTTTATGTTCGATTGCACAATATGTTATTGTTCTTATTTAACACCCAGCCAGACTAGAGAAGTTCATGGCGTTGATTCCTCGTCCTTTTTATTTCCTAGTTTTTTTTGGTCCATCCTTGATGCTGTTAGTCCCTTGCAACTGTATCACCGTGAAATGTTTTTACCCTTTTGTTATGATCGTAAGTCTATATTACAGCTTATTGGTTATGCTTTCAACTTTCCTATTGGGTTTGGCCTAAGGTTATATATTCTCTTCATCCTGAAAGAAAATGTTCTACTTGAATTTCTATTTTTTTAATATTAACTTGACACTAACTGGTAAACTAGAGTTCGAAATATGTGTTGGATTTTGACAGTAGAATGAGATGTACAACCCAGAAGGTGCAGAATAACCATATGTATCTCTTTAGACGCGGAGTAGTTCAGATTGTACTAGTAGTAAAATATTAAAAATGCCCCTAACCTATTGCATTTGGTTTGTATATGATGTTCCTTAAGTTATCGGCTCATAGAAGCTGCCACCATTATCTTATGAATGAAATATACCCTTGATAATTAAAAGGTAGAATATGCCCCTCGCACTAACGATGGAAGCCATATCGATGTATGCTTACCTTTTTAATCATTTAGGGGAATATTTGAACCTTTTCAATTGCTCATAGACATTGCTTCAAATTGTTGAGTTTGCCGCTAAATATGTATGATTGATTCAATTGGCGTAAGATACAATAGTTGAAAAATATTAAAGTTGTTTATCCTTAAAATGAGTAACATTTAAATTTATACGCGATTTAAAGGATATGTGATTTAATTTAATACGAATGATCTAAGAACGATAAGTAACTAAATTAAAGAAGAACAAAACGGTCAAACCAAATGTGATGGAGTAATTAAGCCTGGCTTTAAGTTGAACGCTTAAACTGGTTTCGATCGAGCTCCCGAGATGGGCTCGATTGCAACTAAAGAAATGAGTAACTGAAGAACACTTTGAACAATAGCTAAAAGGCAAAAATAAACTTTATTGCTTTGATATGCGTGCCAACAGTGGTTGAAAAATGAAAAGGTTCTCCCCTTTATATAGTAGGGGAGTTCCAATCCTAGTACAAATCTAAATAAGGTAAAAATCCTTCTCTTCTAGTAAATCATGATCCGTAGTTGACACTGGGCGACATTCGTGCCGTATTATCCGGCTGATGGAGGACATTACGTCCCCTTGTTCGTCCTCTCTAACCGTCTTCTCTTTAGCCTCGATTCTTTGTTTTGCTCGAGCTTGATTCCCCTCATGCTTGGCCATGACCGAATCTTGGTGCGTCATTTGTCCCCCTGGGCTCTGATTTGAGGGACCCTCGGCTGTACTCGAGCCTGCGATTAACCACGTCATCTCCTGTTTCTTCATCGGGACATGGGAGGTAACTTTATCCCCGATTCACCCGTTCACAGATTGTCCCCTCACTTTTCGGAGAGTAGATTTATAGAAACGACGGGAAGTGACTAATTAACCCCGGTTTCATCCTTCGTACGTCATAAGCAAGTTGGCGAGCTGAAACGTCTCATCAATCACGTCGCTCTGACTTCGGATACATGTCAACCGTCGGTTGACCATCCCCGGTAATTACCAAATGCGAAGCTTCATGCATTCGTTATTTCTTTCCTATAAAAGCTCCGGTTTCCCTTTTTTACTTTTTTACTTTCCGATTTCGAATCTTCTTGAGTTACCCTCGAATTTTCTATTTGTTCATCAATCTCTCAAATCTTCATAAATTGTTCTCCATATATTCATACCTTCATCTTTATTTTTCAAACCTTCATATTTTATCTTCATATCTTCATACCAGATCTTCAAATCTTCATGTCAACTTTCAAACCTTCATATCAACCTTCTAACCTTCATATTCCCGGGTCAGATGGCTAAAACTTCAAAATCAGTGCCTCAAAATACTGCTCCTTCAACATCTACCTCTGCCGCAGGCACTGAGGCAACCTTTCCGGTAGCAGCCCCAGAACCTCCTCTTACAGAATTTATCCCCGGAGGCTGCTCATAGATAACGGCTTTAAGGTCGAAAAAGTCTAACAAGGGACCGCGATAACACTGACAAGTGGGCCGGTCCGGTCCCTAAACGGGCCAAGTGGGCCGGTCCAAATGGTCCCGATCCCGGACCGGTCCCAAATTAAATGGGCCAAACGGTCTTTTTGTTGGAACCGGCCCGGAACCGGGCCCACGAACTCATGATCCCGGGCCAGCGAACTCATGGTCCCGGGCTAAGTGGGCCCAACGGCTAAATTTTTTTAAAAAAATTAAATAGAAATTAGAGACAAAAAAATGTTAAAAAAAATATCGAAGGCAATGCCTTATAAATTTTATTATAGAATTGTGACCTAAATTTTTTAATTCAAATTTAAAGATAAAAATATTGTAAAGAGATATTCAAAGCAATGCCTTGTAATTTTATTATAGCATTAAAAAAATATGGCAATATCTTTCTTAGTCTTCTTCCCCCCTATGGAATGAGCACAACAAGGTACTAATACCACCATTGAGAAGAAAAATAAACTAATCAAGATGTGCCAAAATACAAGTTACATAATACATACTAATTTTTGTTCATACAAGTTACATGGTATCTCTTATAAACTTCATAAATCCTTCAAGGTATGGAGAAATTTTCGTTGGTGGTGGTGGAAAAGTAGCTTGGTCATCGCCGCTTCCGGGCAAAGCAGCATCCTCTGCAAGTTCAGCTAGCATTTTTTTGTAAGCTTCGTCTTCCTCTGGTTGTGATTCAGCAAGTCCAAAATTTCTTCTTTCCGAACGGATCCAATCTCTGAAAAGTACTAATTTTTCCAAGCTCTCCCTCTTTACTAGCTGCAATATTATGGCAAAATTGATTCTCAGTAAATTGTAATAAACTATTATCGTTATGAAGAATAGCAGGTGTAGGACGGATATGGGATTTGGTTCGGGGAGCCGGGGGTAGTGGAGGAGGAACAGAATGACCACTAGATACGCCACTCTTGGATTTTCCCTTATTTTAACCAATTTTTTTAAAGGAAGCCATCTTAATTGATCAAGTAATAGAAAATAAATAAAACAAACAAAACTATAATATTAAAACTTAAGAGTTGGAACGAGTTTATCAAATTAACGAACAACTTGTTGAAAATTGGTTATCGTTAAAGACTTGAAGACTTCAATTCACCAACATCACAGTTTTTTCACAAATTGTAACAATAAAGTAAGCAATAGTAGTAATTATAGAAGAAAATTAGAGAGAGATTGTGATAAATTGATGATTTTGGAAGAAAAATAAAAGAATAAGGGGGTATTTATAGTTGAAAATAGGGAAAAAGTATAATTATAAAAAGTCTGGGGTTAAAACAAAGTTGGGGGGGGGGGGGGAATGGCTATTTTCTAAATAGCCAATAGCTATTTTCTAAATAGCCAACAACTATTTTGTGACAGCCCAACGACTGTTTTTTTTTATATTTTACAAAGAGCAGTTTTTTTTTTTTTTAAATTTTACCATTGGGAGCGTTTGGCACCCCAGGTCCCGGTCCGGTCCCGGTCCTAGCGGTCGCAGTTGTTGTACTGGCCTAGAAGACCGGACCAGGCCCACGAATACCGGTCCTAGCCCGTTTGGTCCGCCATCCCGGGCTGGTCCCGGTCCCGGACTGGCTCACTTGCCACCCTTAGAACGCGATGAGGAGGCATGGAGGTACGTCTGCTCCATCACCGAGGAGATGCTACAAGTGGTCTGAGAGGACTGCAAATGGAAAGGCAAAACCATAGTCATTCCCAGTCCCGAGGAGGTTATCACGATGCACGCGGAAGGGTACTTAAGTGTTTACACGTGCCTCTTCACGTTCGGCTTGGTGGACACGTTGATCCTCGATTTTCTAAGAGGTATGAAATCTGCCTCGGGCAGATCCACCCGTCCTTTTGGAGGGTTGTGACCCTTCTCCTTCACTTTGTCAATGACACAGAGGAGCCTCGGTTCACTGTTGACCACCTGCTTTGAGTTTACAACCTCCGAATCTTCCGAGGGGGGTTAATCAAGCTCGCTCGACGGGAAAAGAAGGCTCCCTCTCGTGCATAGACGAGGATATGTATCGAGGCTGGCAGGGGATCTTTGTTCAGATAAAGACCGAAAATCTCATTCCCTCCGAGTTCCTGCCATTCCTC